GATCCTGTCTCTATTAATTAGACCACTGAAAAGAAGAAGATTCGACGTGGTGAACTGCGTGTTCTCCAAGTGGCGTCGTCTTACGCCAACACCGGAGAGCCACATGGCCGAGCAATCACCAATCACGCCGGAGTTCACCACGCATGATGAAAGTTCAGCAAATCAGAGCACGCACGCCGGTCAACAGGTTATCAACGCACAAGGGGGCAATTATCATTAATTGTCGTTATAGGGTTGCAGTTATGACTACGTCCTGTAAATACTGCAAATTCCTGTGCATATGTTCACCGTTTCTGCTATTGCTTTCTGCTAATGTCTGCTAATGATGAAGAATCCGCGTCGGATGTCGAAACGCCAGGCGAACAAATGTGTTGTCCCAGCGATCGAATACCCTATTCTCAATTACTTCCTGGGACTCACATGTTCGCTTGTATTGGCACTTAGACCACTTTCTATCCATTCTTCGCCGGCAGATTGAGGACTGATAAGACTTTTCAGGTTTTTTCAATACACATCTTCCGTTTCAACAAAATAAGTGAAAAAGATGGGATGAAATCACAAATATAGAGTTGAATATTAAAAAAAATAGTTTCTTTTTGAAGAGGGATTAGGGTGTATGCAGTGGAATAGGGGGGGGAATGAAACATCCATGATAATCAACGGTAGAGGAAGCGCGTGGCGCGTTAACCAGATGGTGCCAGGGTTTTGGAAATTTGGATTATGGTGGCCAAAGTTCCACTGACCAGGGAGAACACACCAATCAGCGTAATTATGGCGTGCTTTAGAATAACAGACAGCCAAAAGTAAGGGATGGTGTCGCGATCCGGCCACAGGTGCACCAGCTCAAGCAGGGACGGAATAATGAGTGCGAGCATGGAACTGCTCACAGCACCCAATAGGGAAACCATGAGATCCAGATGTGGAATGGCCATTGCGAGGGCATCTGTAAGGGTGACAGAAAAGGACACTCAGCTAGGAAAATTCAGAGTATAAGGCAACCTCAAACGTCGTAAAGGGACCACGTTTGCGTGCTTGCAGTCCAAGAAGGGTGTAGATAAACCTGCGACTCAGTCTGATGAGGCCAAGGAACTCCTCCTGCCCATAGAACTTGTCACAGAGAGGCAATGTCCAGTTCCGTCAAAGATTTGCTAAAAGGGCGATTGAATAGACTGCAGTACGGTTGGTATTGTGTTCACAATGCCGAACTTTGTGAAAGACTGATAATCGTTCGCAAACCGGCATAAAGTAGGATTGTAAGACTGGTCGTCGTGCAGCCTAATCTCGAATTATTTATATCCCGTCAGGATGCCAGCTTTTTAGCGAGCTTTCTTCTGAATGGTTACAGGACATACACAGCATGCTGTTGGGAAATCTTGAATTCAAGTGTAACGGTAGGCAGGCTTGAAAATGATTCGGCAATTAAGAAACTTTCTTAGCATCGAAATAAGCCCTGTAGTGAAGGCATAATATTCTAGCAAACAAGTGCAAGAACGAATACCTTGGGCCAACGAATATGGGCAAAAGTAGCTCATGTAGTCCCACTGCTATACCTCTAGTCCCAGCATTTTGGCCTACGAAAACGGTGGTTAAAGGGTTTCCGGGGGTAGGCAAATAGGATAGGCAGAGAAGGAAATTTTTAGAAGTAAGGGTAAAGTTCAGTTTAGTTCAGTGCGTATCCTAATTCCTCACCCACAAAGCCCTATAACTACCATTTTCGTAGGATAATATTCTGATATTGCGCAGCACAACGTGTTGCGAGAATAACTCGTTGGCTGCAACTGTTTTTTGTTGTGGAACTAACTTGAACCTCTTTCAAACGAAATGAAATAGCATGTTCTCCTTTAAAAAAACCCTTAAAAACATTAAATCATAGCTGAAGGCTAACTAAAAATCAAGATTAAACAAAATACCAGGCATTGACAGACAAATACAGGGAGAGGCTGAGACGTCAGCTGTCTCAGAATTACTAGATAACCATATCTCGACCGACAGTTGGATCATCGCGAGCGTCGACGTCCATTGTATAGGGCCCCATAGCAAGACAAAGGCAAGCTGACCGGAGATGAGCACGAACGCTGTGGCTGACTAAGTACGAGAGCCCGTCTACGCCTGCCATGCACTGCCTGATCTTCGCAACGTGCATCAGGCCTCCGCGAGGGATTCTCGAGGCTCGAGTGTCATAAAGGTCACACTAATGGGGAGCCATTGAGTGTGATCGTTACGGACAGAACAATTGATAAATTAATGTAAATCATCAATAGTAAAGCCGTCCTCAACCTCCCTGAAATAAACTCACTTGCGCTGACAAACGTCAGAATAAAACGTCGATTCATACCGTCCGAACGCGATAAGAAAGTTCTTTTTCTCTAAGAGGGTAATCCAGGCATGGAATGCCCTTCCT